CTGGAGATATTCAAAAGCCGTCTGGATGTGATCCTGGGCAATATGCTCTAGGTGACCCTGCTTGAACAGGGAGGTTGGACTAGATGATCTCCAGAGGTCCCTTCCAACCTAAACGATTCTGTGATTCTGTGATTCTGTGAAATCAGGGAGGCCTAAGGCTGGGGCCTCTATCAATTTCTTTTTAATTTCATCAAAGCTTTTTTGACATTCTGGAGTCCATTGCAGCAGCTCTCCCGGGCCCTTGGTGGCTGCATATAAGGGTTTGGCTATAAGTCCAAAATTGGGAATCCATATCTGGCAGAACCCGGCCATTCCCAGAAACCCTCTTAGCAGCTTTTTGGTTTTTGGTACTGCTATTTGGAATATAGCCTCCTTTCTTTCCCCCCACAGTGCCCATTGTCCTTTTGATATATCATACCCAAGATAGCAGACTTCCTCTCTTGCAATTTGGGCCTTCTTTTTCAAGACCCCGTATCTGGCCAGTTCCAGAAAGTTTAGCAGGCTTATTGTTGCTTCCGTACAAGCTTGTTCAGTATTGGCTCCAATTAAGATGTCATCCACATACTGCAAAAGAGTAACACCATCTTTGTCATTTTGCCACTGTTCTAATTCTTTGGCCAAAACCTCACTGAACAAAGCAGGACTATTTTTAAATCCCTGGGGAAGAACAGTCCAACACAATTGTCCTTTCCTTCCAGTGACCGGATTCTCCCATTCTGAGGCGAAAAGAGTTTGACTTTGCTCATCCACTGGAATGCAGAAGAAGGCGTCCTTTAAGTCTAATACTGTGAAATAGGCATTGCTCTTGGGTACAGATGCTAATAGGGTATAAGGGTTAGACACCGTGGGATGTGTATCTTTGGCTATTTGATTAATAGCCCTCAAGTCCGGAACTAGTTGGTATTCCTGGGAATGGGGCTTTTTTGCTGGTAAAATCAGTGTATTATATTCAGATCGACATTCTTTAAGCAGTCCATACGGTATAAAGGTATTTATCAGGGGTTCGAGGCCTTTATGAGCTTCTACCCTAATGGGGTACTGATGCACCCTTACCGGTTTCGCTCCCTCTTTTAGTTCCATTTTAATTGGACTTATGTTTTTTGCTCTTCCTGGTTTCTTAGAAGCCCACACCAGTGGAATTACCGCATCTAGTACAGTGCGGGGGATATTCTCGGATTCTCGTGACGTCCTGTCTGTCAGCAGGCAGATCTGGGCCTTCCAGGCAGCTTCAGGTGGGATGTGGAGCTGCACAGCATTCTCAGAGAAAGTTACTTGTGCGTTTAATTTGCATAGTAAGTCTCGTCCCAACAGAGGTAGGAGGCATTCTGGCATATATAGAAACGCAGGAGTTAATTTGGTGTCCCCAACTGCACATTCCATTGGTTGTAAAAATGGCCTTAATGTTCTTTTTCCCCGTTGCCCCAACAATAGGTATAGTTACTATACTTAGAAGTCCTTTACAACTATTAACTACTGAATGAGTGGCCCCATAGTAAGTCTCGTCCCAACAGAGGTAGGAGGCATTCTGGCATATATAGAAACGCAGGAGTTAATTTGGTGTCCCCAACTGCACATTCCATTGGTTGTAAAAATGGCCTTAATGTTCTTTTTCCCCGTTGCCCCAACAATAGGTATAGTTACTATACTTAGAAGTCCTTTACAACTATTAACTACTGAATGAGTGGCCCCATTGTCAATTAGAAAATCTATGGTGTCGTTCCCCAGCTTAACTGGAACCAGGGGATCAGCTGGGGAAACTTCAATGTTTTCCCCCGGTCCCCTTCAGTCTGAATCTTCTAACATAATGAGGTTAGTCTCTCCCACCTGATCCTGCCTTCTTACCCTCTTTTGATTCGGGCATTCCTTCTTCCAGTGTCCCTCCTGTTTACAGATCGCACATTGATTTGGCCCCAACGGAGTTTGTTTTTGTGAGTCTCTTCTCCTCATCGTTCCACCTTGTCCCCTTCTCCCCCTGCCTCTTCTCCTGTCTCTCCCTCTAATATTATTCCCATGTATTGCCGCTGCTAACAGAGATGCTTGCAACTTTATTCTATTCTGCTTCTCTTTTCTTTCTTTCTCATCCCTGTTGTTGTACACTTTATATGCTATTTCTATCAGTTGAGAAATTGACATTCCTCCTGCTCCATCAACTTTTTGTAACTTTTTTCTTATATCCTGGGCCGACTGCCAAATAAACAACGTATTGAACATCCTCTGGTTTGCCTCATCATCCGGATTCCAATCAGTCCATTTTCTAGCTACTTCACACAACCTTTCGTAAAAGGCTGATGGATTTTCCTTCGAACCCTGCCTCACTTCATAAAGTTTAGACACATTCTTTGGTTTAGGCACTCCATGTCGAACCCCGTATAGTATCAATTGCTGATACTGCTTCAATTGAGCTCTGTCTCCCCCTACATTAGGATCCCACTCCGGGTCCTTTTTAGTGGGCAGAAAAGTCTCAGAGTCATCCTGCCTATTATTCCTCTTCCCCCCCTCTTCTCTGGCTTTTTCAACAACCATTCTCTTTTCCTCTAGCGTGAAAAATGTGTTAAACAAAGTCTGTACATCTCCCCAGTTGGGATTATGTGTTAGCATTATAGTTTCTAGCAAGTGGTGCATCTTTTCAGGGTTTTCTCTATATGATCCAACAGACTGTTTCAAATTCAACAGGTCTGAGGTAGTGAAGGGAACATGCACAAAAACTGACCGTCCTCCTGGCCCCACCGCTTGTCTCGAGGCAGCTGGAACAGCCCGCTGGGCATGTCCTCCGGTCCGACTGGAAACAGGACTAACATTTTCGTTGCCCGATGGTGAGCCAGAAGCACCTGGGGGCTGTTCGGTATCATCTCTGTATGGCGGTGGGGCTGCTGGGACCAGTAACTGTACATCCTCCTGTTCTTCTTCCCCTGCACTTTTTCTCTCCCCACATCCCCTACAACCGCTCTCCTTTTTGCCGGTAGCCGCATATATCACGGAGCCAGCTGTTAGCTTACACACCCGGCTAGCATCAGGCTCTCTGTGCAGAGTCATAAAGGCATCAACATAAGGCACTTCATCCCACTTTCCCGTCCGATGGCAAAACAACATCAACTGTAATATAGTGTTGTAGTTTACCGACCCATTCTCTGGCCAGACCTCACCATCATCCAATTTGTAATATGGCCACCACTGATTACAGTATCTTTTCATCTTTTCTTTAGTCATCGGATCGCCTCCAAACTTTCCCCAGTTTTTCAGAATACACCCCAAAGGGCTGCCGGGAGGGGCAGTCGTGGATTGGTTTGAGCCCATATTTGTACTTGTGCCCCTGGCTGGGTGCACCCCGCGTGAGCTCGGCTCCGGCCGCCCCGCGTCGCGCGACAAGGAACCGAAACCCACCTTGGGTCAGCGCTCGGCTCTGGCGGCCACG